TACCCGTATCCAGCCCAGGGCCTGCTTCACATACATTCACACAGGCGGCCCAGGGCCTGGGTTCACTCAACCAACTGGCGCTGCGCAACTGCCTGCATTTCCCTGAGTTGCGTGGTCGCCAAAAAAAGGGCCCTGAGGGCCTCGTCGAGCCTGCCTTCACTTAGGGCGGCCGACGGGCTGCAATAACGGGGCCTTATGGGGCTCATAGAGGCAATGGCCTCACATTCCCTCCTCCTCAGCTTCAACAGTCCTCTGAGAAGCTCAGCCTTCGATCATAGGGCTTTCCCTTCTGCAGAGATCTCTCGTATTGGGTTACAACTTGAGGAGCAGTCTGCATGAGCTCTTCCCTGGTGAACCAGCGGTCCTCCTTCGGATCAGTGTGATGCCGGAACCGAACGCAGTACTGCAGCTTTGGTTTTGGAGGACGTCCCCTGCCTGCTGATCTTGATACCGGCAGCTCTCTGTGATCCACGATATCATCGATGTCCACCTCTCCGTCCATGGTTGGGGGCAGCATTGAGCGACGAGATGGAAACTGATCAGTCTCTTTGAAAGGTGCCAGCTTGGAGGCGTGAAAAACAGGGTAAATACGGAGATGACCAGGAATCCGGATAACGTAAGATGGCCCATCCGGATCAGTCCCGACGATGTCCAAGACTTCCCAAGGTCCAAAGTACTGGGGCATGAGTTCACGGGAGATCCCGTACTCCTGTCCCAGTTCTGAAGACTTAACCCATACCCTATCCCCAACCTGAAATGTAGAAGGCCGGCGGTGTCTATTTTCAGACTCTATCATTGCTGCCTGTGCCTTTTGCATCTGCTCTACAGCCTGCTGCATTTTCTGTTCATACCTGTAGGCAAACTCTGAAGTACCCGGTGCAGCAGTTGATTGATTCTCAGGAAGGAGAAAGTCAAGGGGTAGTCTAGGCTTAAAAGTCAGTAGTAGACTGTTCGGGCTCACCCCAGTAGCGCTATGTACAGCATTGTTATACAGGCTGGCGATGAGAGCAAGCTTCTCATCCCAGTCCACCTGGTTGGGCTTGATGTAATGCCTCAACAGGTGTTGTACAGCGCGGTTCAGTTGCTCAGCCTGACCGTTGGCCTTTGGGTGATTCCCAGAAGTCATCTGCAGCTGAGTTCCCTGCTCTGCAGCAGCGGCCTTCCATAACTCGCTGGTGAACCGGACATCCCTGTCACTAATAATAGACTTCGGTAAACCAAAGTCCCTGACCCAGTTCTCTTTAAACATTCTGATCACATACTCCGTTCTGGCTGTTTCCGGCATTGCCACTAACCTAGCATACTTACTAAATCTATCCACGATGACGAAGATGTGACGCATCCCACTCTTGCTGGTGATCAGAGTATCCGTGAAATCCATGGACAGACTCTCACCAGGCCGTTCCGGAATCGGAAGGGGCTTCAGAAGCCCAAGAGGAGCCTGAGTACGTGGCTTGTCCCGCTGACAAACTTGACAAGTCTCCACGTACAGCTGGGCATCTCTCATCGTCGTGGGCCACCAGAACCGCTGCAGCAAGTTGGCTGCGGTCTTCTTATACCCGAAATGGCCGGTGGCATCATGACACTCGCCTAAAAACAAACTACGTAAAGAGGTGATGGACCCAAGTAACCTGCCAAGAACTGGAAAGCAAAAAACACCACTCTGTCTGGCACAGTTTGCCAGTCTTGAGAGGGAGGAAGAGGGCGACTGCAAGAGGAGGTGTGGTTTGGGAGCATGGAAACGGTGAGAAAGAGAGAGAAATTAACTTCATCTTCAAATTCAGATCCCCACACCAAACGGAGAGGTGCAAGTACTGGAAAGCACAAAACACCATTCTCTGTCTCGCAGAGTATGCCACTCTTGAGAGGGRCGAAGAGGGAGACARCGAGAGAGGGGGTGTCATTTGGGACCATGGAAACGGAGAGGGAGAGAGAGAAATTAACTCCACCCTCTAGTGCAGATCAACTCTGCCCCGCCCAACCCTTACCCCCCCACCAAATGGAGAGCTGATGGACCCAAGTAACCTGCCAAGAACTGGAAAGCAAAACATACCATTCTCTGTTTGGCACAGTATGCCAGTCTTGAGGGGCAAACTAATTTGAAGAAAAGTCTCATTATACGATACGAGAGTAATTGACTATTTGTAGTATTTGAGTAATTAAATGACAAACAAGATATATAAACTCTAAAGAATCATCATTCACAGGGTTGGGAACACACAATCGTTTATTCCCTGCCTTCTCAAGGCACAACAAGCCATTGACCAGCTCAAACTCGGCATAGGTCTTCTTGTCCTTTGCCTGAAGTCTGCGTATGATCTCAGACATGAACTGGTCCTCGCGATAGGCTTCCACCAAGGACTAAGTAACATGGTCCGTTAGATTGAACTCAGTAATCAGCTCACCTGAGAAATCAGGTCTATGCGACAAGGCATCCGCAACCTTGTTGTACTCCCCTTTGAGATGCTGAGGGTCAAAATCATATTGTTCAATGACTTCGATCCAACGCTTGAGGGCGTCAGAAAGTACAGGCTGGGTTCTCATCCATCTCAGGGTTTGATGATCAGTCCTGAGGATGAAGAATCTCCCAAGGAGATAGTGTCTCCAATGGGTCAGAGCCTTGTAAACTGCATAGAGTTCCTTCTCATAGGTGGACTTAGCCAACTTCTGAGACGACATTTTCTTGGACATGTACTCGATAGGCCTCAACTTTGGCCCCTCCTGCTGCGCGAGCACGACGCCAATGCCATATCGGCTGGCATCCGTGGTAACTATGAACGGCTTGTCAAGATCAGGAAGTTTCAAGACCTCGTAGTGCGTCAACGCATGCTTCAGGTGTCTGAAGGCAGCCTCGCACTCATCTGTCCTCTCCCATGGGGTGTCAAGGCGGGTCGGATCAGTCAAAGGAGCGGCCACTATGCTATAGTCCTTAACGGAAGTCCTATAGTAGCCTGTCATTCCCAAGAAAGATCTCATCTCAGTCACAGACTGAGGACGTGGCCAATCACGAATGTTGGCCACCTTCGTGTCATCGGGCTTCAACCCTTCCGTGGAAATCTCATGACCCAAGTACAAGACACGGGTGCGGCCAAACTCGCACTTCTCACCGTTGATCTTGAACTTGTGTTGTCGCAGGAGACTGAGGACTTTGTCCAAATATGCAACGTGCTCCTCGACAATCTTATTAAAAATAAGTATGTCATCGAGGTACATGATGACAAACTTATCTAAGCAGTCATGGAATATCCGATTCATAGCGTGCTTGAAGGTGCCAAGAGCATTGCGAAGGCCAAAAGGCATCACCACAAATTCGTTCAGACCGTACCTGATCTGGAAAGCGGTTTTGTGCTGATCCTCGGGCCGGATTACAATCTGACGGTACCCGGACTTCAGATCTATCTTACTGAAGTACCGACACCCTTGCACTCTATCTAACAGATCGTCGATGAGCGGTAGGGGCTCTCTATTCTTTACAGTGATGGCATTGAGGCCCCTATAGTCAATGCACATCCTAAGAGTACCCTCATTCTTCTTAGGTACGATGGAGACCCATAAGGAGAGACACTCGGCCAGATCCAACCCTTCTCTACAAGTTCCTTGAGTTGGCGGCGAAGCTCATCAAGCTCGCCTGGAGACATCCGACAGATCCTACCCTTCGGGATACTAGACCCTGGGATAATCTCTATCGCATGGACGACCTCCCTCTCAACAACCCCTATTGGCTCTTCAAATAGATCAGGGTACTTAGCAACTCCTCCCTCCATCTCCGGCGGCATTTTCACCGGCTCGCCTACAGCAGAGACATAAACTAAATACATACCCTCCTCCTGATTTTGCTTATAATAATTGTAGAACGCGGCCGCACACATGCACCCATAGGACTCAATCAGACTACTAGCTTTGAACTTATGTAATCTGGCGGTCCCTCCACCTGGCAAAGTGTGTTTGACCACTTTTCGGTCCCAGTCAAACTGGGGCTGTGCTACAGAGAGGTAGTACATACCTAGTAACATATCCATTGGGAGCTCGTCACTTACTAGGAACGAGACACGATGTCTCAAGTCCCCTCCCGCGTACGGAAAACAACACTCAACATTCTAAAGGTAGTTGTTAACTACCATGCGTTGTTTGTTGGGGTCGACTCCACAGGTCGACTCAGGCGCTGCACTCGCCCCTGTAAACGCAGCCTCTCAACGCACGCGCGACTAATAAAGTTCCTAGTCGAGCAAGTGTCATAATAGGCCCCGGCCTTGCGGCCGCCAATGACGACCTCGCTGACGAACATCTCACCCTTTGGGGCTTTGACTAGTGTCGTCCAAGAAGCTAGCGGGTCTGATCTAGACCACTCCACCTCTAGCTCCTCTAAGGACTCAAACACATTCATCGAATAGAGGGTCGATGGGTCTGAATGTGCTTGCGGGACGACGCTGGAGTCAGTAGCTTGGGCCATCTCTTGAGATGGTGAGGGTGTCTCCACCACCTCAACCCTAGCAGGAACAACTACAATTCCAACTGGCCCGACGTGTTTCCCGGAGCACTGCGTGAAGTACTTGCAACGTTGCTACCAACAGGTTGAGAGGACCCCAACACCTGCCCCATCGTAGGAGGGATATTTTCTGTCACTTTCTTATTGCGACACTTGAATTGGATGTGGCCATATTGACCACAACGAATACAGGCCTGCCGAGAGTAACGGTCTCTCCACACGTCCTCGGTGAGACCCGCCTTCTCCCATGGAGGAGCGTTGGGGTCAACTTGACTCCTAGTCCGGGAGCCTCCGCGGCGTCTACCGGTCGCCTTACCTTTCTGAATTACGGCAGCGACTACTCCACCCTCTGAAGCTTCTATGCTGCCCGCCTCTGAACCTACTCCCTCCTGGAAGTTGCCCTCCAACTCGATGGTTGAACCATCGTTGTCGACAAACATGATGCGACCCTTCGCCTTCCAGTTAGGAGGCAGTGTCTTCTTCCTCCCATCCGTAGTGGGTGCCTGTCCATGCCCTATCTTAGCTTCAAGGTCTAGGGCCACCTTACTGAACGAAGGAAAGTTGTGCATATTGATGTTGGGCTCTTTTGCCAACTGGTTCCTGAGAGGCTGAGAAAAGCATCTCAAGTACGAGGTCAGCAGGACCTGGGGGTCATAGCGCACCCCTTGGACACAGATCAGATGCTCAACAGTGTCGGTGGCTTCCCTTAGTGACTTAAACTGCATCGTGTGCAGTGTCAGGATCGCATCAGTGGCCCTTTGAGCCTCCTGAGGAACGTGCCACCTTTCTTCCACCATCTTCAGGAAGTCCTCCCATTTCTGCGAGGCCGCCCAAGCGCGGAAGTCATGACCATACTTCTGGAGCTGCACTAACCCACTCAACCATCTTGTTGCACTACCCTCTAGGTAGGAGGCAGCCACAAGCACTTCTCGTGCGGCAAGGTAAGTTTACACCTGAAGTAGACCGGCACTGCCCTCAACCATGTGTCGAGGTCTTCGCCCCTCTTATCCCTTGTAAAAGGTTTGGGAGCGACGATGGCCGTCTTTGGAAGCCACTGAGTTTGTCCCGGTCCCTGCACCACTCCGGGTTGTGGACCCGGTGACACAGGTTGTTGTGCTAGCTGCTGGGGCTGCGTGCCCTGAGGCTGCACAGGCTGCGAGACAGCAGGCTGCGTGGTGACTGCAACCTGCGACAGAGTTTGGGTGTACATTGTCTGAACAAGAACCTACAAACTACTACCTGCTGCTACCCCTCCTGACAGCGGCATGCCCAGGGAAACGATAGCAACCGATGACGGGGCTACATATGGGGATACCCCTATCACCAGTGGGACAAAAATAGGTGGATATGGCACGGGCCAGGCACCAGGCCCGACTGGTGATGGTGCTGCCTGAGCATGGCCTGCCAAAACGGCTAGGCTCTGTTGGATATCCTGAAGGATGGTAGTTTGGTGCTCCTGCATCTCTAGTACGCCTAGCAGGGCCGTCCTAACTACCCTCACATCATCATCCATGTTCGTCAGGTCCATCGTCTCTAACTCCTCTATGTCTGCCCCTCTCCGCTGCATCCTGGCTCTTCTAATGCCCGCTGTAGTTGTGCCTCCTGCAGGGCTGCCTGCTCGATGGCGACATCCTCTGGAGTCAACACCGCTGCCTGGCTTGCCATAACGCCAGTGGACTGACTCACGATCTGCGCGACCGTTGACCCGACGGCACCTGAACTGCTGGCTTGGGAAGTCTGCTGCGCAGAAGTGACCATGGCGGAAGTAGCCATGGCTGCTGTAGCACCGGCCTCACTAACTAAAGCCCTGCTGGCCTAGGCTGCTCTAGCTCTCCTCTGCTGCTGCTGTCTCTCCCTAAGCTGGCGGAACAGAATCCTATCACCCTCCGGTCCTAGGGACACGTGGGCTATCGGGCGTCTAGCTGATCGCAAGATCCGATCGTCCAAGTGTGTGTCCTCCTGGTCGCTAATAGGCTACAACGCTGTGCACCGTCTACACTAGGACACTCTAGGTGCCTACCGCAACATAATGCTCAGACGAACTAATTAGTTGGTGGCTATTTTGGAATAGATATCAATTGTGGTCAACAGGTAAGTCAGATTCCTACAAACGAAACTATTTTTAGCTTCACTAGTCCGCAAACAGAAGCACCAGGAACAAAAAGCAGTTCTAACTAATGTTGTCTGTCAGATGTCAATGGATGTACACCTAACTAATCAAAACATAAAAACAGAATCATTTGTGTGGATAGGACAGCATGGAATTTTCTCGAACTTATCACCTGGAATCAACCCCTCCCTTAGTTCCCCTGAGTATCTCTTGACGTCAGCGTCCCTGAGCGTTCTGGAGAGCGTTGCGTGCTTAAAGGTGTGTGTCCGGCCCACCCCTGTGCCCAGAGTATCCACTGAGTTGGCCAGCCTTGCACGTATTTTTATCCTCGGCGTGCCGCGAGCCTTACATCACTGGCTGATCCAGAGGCATTTTAACGTCCACCCCCAAGTGACATCAGAAATTATTTTACGTCGCAGCAGGACGACGATCACAGCCAGTGATATCCCCTTCCCGTGTTTATTTAAAGACGGCGGGTCTCGTCTTTCCTGTAGGGCTGGCCTGCCCAGTAGTACCCATCTAACAGCGCGGCAAGCCAAACAAAGGACAAGCAGCAAGGCATGCGTGCTCTACTCCCTATGGGTTGGCATGGTGACCATGACCCAATGCTTCGTCCAGGGCCCTTCAGAAAGCTCCGCCCATCTCCACCCAGATGCTCCACGTGAACATTGCCGACTCTCAAGGTTGAGCGCACTCGACACCTCACGATGAGAGGACTCTCAAGAAGGAACACACAACCTCAAGATAAGAAGTGTCGGAGAGGGAAGATAAGGTTAAGAGCAACGTACCTCAAATAGCTGCCCCCAACCACAAAGATAATCTCACCGGATGACCAGATGGCGATTGCGATGACCAGTCACTGCATCGGCACAACCAGCATTGAACGCCGTTAAACCTCAGCATCAATACCACATTAGATAGTTCTCATCACACTGTCTAGACCACATACACCTCATGTAGCCTTCCTGGCGATCCCCTCACCTCCTGGGTCGCCTACACACTCGTCTCCACCCTCCTCACTACACACCACTTACGGCCAAACTTGCCCACCAGACCGCATGTATGTACCGCATAAAGCAGAAGACAAGCGCCAGATGAGCGCAATCGTACCACAACTCTGATACCAAATTGCAAGGAAGATGAGCAATAGCGAACTTCAGCAATCAAACAGCATCATACATATGAGTCCAGATAGTCGTGACCTCGAACCAACAGCAGAATTGCATCACCAGATTCACCAAATAAGAACACACCAAGAGTTCATAATTGACAATGCTG